ATTTTCTAAAGTAGGTGAAATCCTAATCTTCAATGTTTATTGTTTAAATTCAACCTAATTTCACATATGTGTGATTGACTGCTGTGCTTTGAAGAACATGTCCTCCTCATTACACTTTGTGCTGTGCAGCTTACATGTCCGAGCTCATAAAACAGACCGCTCTGTTGCAGGCACGGTATCTAGCTTTTACTTCTCTGTGCGATTAAAAAAAGATATCTTGGGTAGATGTGGACAATGGGTGGCACAGCATCACCTTTATTGGGAGAAAAACTACCTCTTCCTCTGGATAGACACCGTCCCAAGCCAGAACATAAGGACTCACAAGGTGAGCACTTTGGATTTTAGCCCCAGTGACTCCTCCCAGATGTTTACCCTGACCTTGGCTAAAGGTAGCAGAAATGGAAGCTTAGGAAGTTAAGGGTCTCAAACCAGTGTCTGAACCCAAACTTCTAACTTTTAAGGCCCTTTCTTCTCTTCTCTTTCTCAGTTCCAAGAAAGATGGTCATCACTATGTAAGTAACATTTATTCAGCACTTCCTATATGCTTTATATGAACATACTATATGCCAGACATCCTGTAAAGCAATGCCTCATATCACATTCTGTATAATCTTAAATTACTAATTATATCCTGTTTTACATATGAGAAAATCAAAGCTTAAAAATGAAGCAGCTTGGTGAAGGTCAGCTGGCTGGTAAATTTCAGAATACAGTTTCCAATTCCAGTCGACTCCAAAACAAAAAGTGCTTAACCATGGTATTGCGTGGTATCACTGCGAACCTCATGAGCTAGACCTGTGACCAGGGATCTCCACTGCCACGTGCAGTGAATGGATACAGACACAGCTTTAGTTTCATATTCCTGGGCCCACTCCAGATCCTTGGACTCTGACTCTTCACAGGAATCTGCATTTTAGCCACCCCCCTGTGACCCTTATGCAAATAAAAACTTAGCACACGTAGCATGACTTATCACAAGCCACCCTTGCCTGAAATTGTATGGTAACTTTCTTCTGCCTACATGATAAAAATTAAACTTTAAAACATTGAATTACCAAGATTTGCTTTATCTGGGACTTGCCCCATATGCTGCTCTCTCATGTTTGTACCTATAACCAAATTATATCAAACTTTGTGTTAAAATGTTAATACTAATACTTAAAATTACCAAATAGATACCATATTTCATTTACTATTATGAGTATTTGCAAGATATACTATATAATATACCATATTTAAATATCTTAATAAGCCTGTGGGGTAGGTATCAATTACTATTCTAATATCCCAATTAGAAATCAGAGTCTCAGAGAGATTAAGGAATTAGTTCAAGGTCATAAAACTATTAGATCCCAGACACTTGCATGCCAGTCCAACACATTTGCATATGATGCTGATGCATTGCCCAAATTACAGATATATTCATAGAAGCATGAGGAAGCATAATGAGTTTAGAGAATAGCAAACTCCTCAATAACATAATTAAACAGCTTTTTCAATTATCTATGATCTTTTGCTCACTGTAGATAAGGAGATGGACTGAGACATGTCAGGTTACTTGCCAGGCTACTAGCTACAAGGGGCAGAGATAGAAACCAGAGCCAAGTTCAACTCCTAACTCTTCAGTTTCAGAACTTCCTGATGCTTGTTCTTGACACAGCATGGTACCACTCATTCACTTTGCTGGAATCATCTCCTTTTGAATAAGTTGCATATTTCCATTGTTGTATTCCAATCCTAAAATTCATCCTAAATCACAAATTATGAGGTCATATTTATCTGAAGCAGATGTATTTTCTTTATTCTTTTTTAAAATTATTTATATTGTTTAGGCTATTACAGTTATTCCCACCTTTTCTCCCCTTCCCAACCTCCATCCAGCACCACTTATTCCCTCCCTAAGTTGATCCCCTTTTTGTTGTCTGTGTCTGTGGGTTGTGCATAAATGTTCTTTGGTTAATCCCTTCTTTGTGAGTTCTCCTAAGAGTAACAAGTACCTAATCTGTAATGATTCTTGTTCCCATAACTATCTCTCAGTATTAATTTTCAGACTGTCTTGGTCTCTAATTTAAGTGCTCTGTTTGGTGTTCTCATCCTGACCGTCATTTCTGACCTTTTAAAATCTGCCTCCTATGCATTCTGTTTGCCATGTGTGCCTTTTAACTTTCTAAGGAAAAGGGAAATTTTATTCTTTACTATGGAATGAACATTTTATTTTTTGAGAGAGGGGAAGGGAGGAAGACAGGGAGAGAAACATCAATGTGTGGTTGACTCTTGCACGCCCCCTACATAGGACCTGGCGTACAACCCAGGCATGTGTCCTGAGTTGGAATTGAACCGATAACCCTTTGGTTCACAGGCCAGCACTCAGTCTAATAAGCCACACCAGCCAGGACTGGAAGGAATATTTTATAGTGTTTAAAATAATTTATCTCAGGGATGCATTAGGCAATCAAGGTATTGGCATGTTAGGTATGTACTTTGTCAATAAAATAATTCAATTCATTAAACATTTACTTTATATGTGAGACTCTTGGCTACAAGCAGTAAAGCACACAAAAGTAAATTAAACAGGGTCCTTTATTTATGAAACTGAAATCATTAGGGATGCTAAGATACAATAAAAAATCATGTGTCATCTATAAAAGTTCCCATGATAATAATGAATGGCCAGCTCCCTTAGACCAGCAATTTCCATTCCTAAAAGTTATGCAAATAACAATCAGAAGAAAATAAAATCTATTTCTACAAACATATTAAAGTTATAAATTACCAAAAAGTCAAAACATAAGTATTTTGTTACATAAATTATATGTATGCATAAATAATGAAACAGCATTAATAATTATTATTTGAATATTTATTGTCAAAAGGAATGTCCATGATATTTTTTAAAGATAAAAGGAGGTTAAAAAATGTGATGTTTACAGCAAGATTTAAATTGGTTTTAAATGTATGTGTGAGAGAGAGAAAGAAAAAGATACGGAGAGATAGAGAGGTTTAGAAACATCTAGAGAATCATACACAATATTTTTTAACAAAAGTTATCTCAGGGTACTGGATTTTTCAGTTACATTTTCCTTTTGCTTATTGTGTTTTTAAATTGTCTCTCTAAAATTTACATACATTTATGCTATAGTCTATGGTACATTTTTTTCTTATTAAATGCAGTTTTCCACAAATCTAAATATATTGATACAAAAAATCAGCTATTGTCATCCACAAGAGTTCAAATGAAAATATCTAATTTTTCATAGGAGGTGATGAAGATATTAATTTTTCTGTATTCTAGCTGCCTTTCTAATGTGTTATCAAAGTTATAATTAAACATTACCAGGAATGAGATTGACTTTGTCATTAATGGAAAATACATTTAATTCTTCTTATTACTGGAACGTCTTTATGATACCAGCTGCTTTATTTAACCAATGATGTCAATGTTTGGTTTATTACACATATGTGATGTTTCAGTGAATTGATAAAAGTCTCCCGAAATAAAATATACACAACTTTGTTTAAACATTTATTGATAAAGCCTTCTTTATTAAAGCATCTATTTTTAAGCCTTTAAAACCTCAATTCATATAATTGTAAAATGTGTCTGCCTCTTACAAATCCTCACCACTGGCCCCCCATCTTCTATGTTTTGAAGGAAGCAAATTTTTCAGTTTCTTCAGGTCATAAATAAAATAAAAGCAACCAAGATATGCTTAAGAGCTCTGGGTTTCACCTATGCTTTATCTTGTGATTAACTCATACACATTTTACTACTTGACATTTATGACACATTTGGCTGACCTTAGATTATTTCCACATTCATTCTAATTTTCCCCTTTCCTCTGGAAAACTGAATTTGCAAGATAAATTAATCATGCAATAAGAGAGATGTTACTCTCTGAGAATGTATGTATATAAATATAGCAATGTTCTAGAAGCATTCTGTGCTATTTTTTTCTTGAATGGGATGAGTATATCAACATGATAAATATTCCACTTTGTCCATGAAGAAAACATGTGCTATGGGATTCTGCACCTTGTCATTTCTAACCAACCTTGGGATATTTGCTCTGTCACAAGCACTACTGTAATATTTTTGAAAAAAAAATTTTTTTAGATTCTTTTTTCTCAGAGGCTTGGATGAATGTGTGGGCAAAATGTGATATGGATGCGAATCCTAGGCATGGGAGATTCCTTAAAAAATGTGTACCTGATTAAGACAACGGAATGCTTTTTCCCACCAATTTTCATGTCTATTTTTCAGAACTTTATTGTGAGGATCTTATATATCACAATATTTAAGGAATGTGCTAAACAATTTAAAAGCATGTTTCTCTATAATGCCCTGAGTCACACATGCCTATACAAACCTAAACAGTCTATTTTTAACCTCCAATAAGAATGTATGAGGTTTCCTTACACTCAAAAGATGTGGAGATAGGTAGGGCTTAATAATGAGTGTGGATTGGGAGGGAGAAAGGAAGGGAGGAAGAGAGGGAGGGAGGGAAAGGGAAGAAGAGAGAGAGAGGGAGAGAGAGAATAAGAATATGATTAAAGGAGCTTAAGAGATTATTTGCACTTGTCAATAATAGTGTCATTGAAGTAAGCTGCTAAACTTCTTAGTACTGATGAAGTAAAGCAGTAAAAACAACCACAGAAAAAAAAAAGCAGAGAATCACCAGACTGGCTGTGAGGACAAAGTACCAATAAAGCAGTCCAATGCCAATGATCAGTAGGGCATCAATTTGTCTTTTGAGCTGTAGCACCTGGTACTAATTGGTGCAAAGAGCTCAGTAATCCCTGTGTGGTTAGCACATTCAGCTCTCTCCTGTATGTGCTGTGAGAAGCAGGACAGCTAATTGCTGTTGCTTCAGTGCCAGTGAATCAACATGCTGAGCTAATAGCGACAGATAGAGGGCAGACGGATTCCTGCTAGCGGCTTAGAGTTAGTTGCTTCTGGTAACTAAGGCAGTTGGCACATATCTCAGAACGGGGAGAAAGAGAGTATGCCTTCTGGGTTAATATGTTGAGGTGTTTTTTTTTTTCCTCTATAATATCTTCTTGATGATACAAGACTGGATATTAATGCCTCACAGACTCAAGAAGTGTAACGTGTGAACGAATCGTTTGGACCTAGATTATGAACCCTGGTTGTTTTGAAAGGGATGTTCAGGAGGCAACCTTGGCAAGAAAACTTGCTGCATAATCTTACATGGGCTAAAGATGAAACTTTAAACTGGTAAGTTCTTTCTCCTCCCACCTCCTTTTCTTTATCTGTCAAATTTAAGGCAGCAGGGAAGTACAGAGAAAGTTACAAGCTTGTTCCAGAGCAATGGGTCTCTGTCACGCTTCTTCCAAAAACAGAGTAGTAATGATGTACAAGTAATTATCTTCTGGGAGAATGAACACAAGTCCTTGACCTCTCGTTTTTCCTAATTACTGTGTGGCATCATAATTTTGTTGAGATGTCAAAGCAATATTTAGACACATGTGTAAAATGATAACTCTGTGTGGTTAGTCATTTTTAAAAAATGTCACTCCTCAACCATGTTCTTTGCTTCTCTCTCTCTCTGACAAAATATAGAAAAAGAAAAAGGGCCAAAGTATCAGTATGTTACATTTGTTTTTTCATGTGCAAATATATGTGTATGATGTTTTGTGTGTGGTAGTTGCTGGACATTGTAGTTAAGGGGTAAGTTTAGGTGGCTAACTCTGCATCACAAATAGCAGCATTATTTTTTGTGTTTTGTTATAATATAGAGTATCCTGATATTTTCACTGCAGATGTTTTAGGATATCTACTTTATGAAAATGACTTGGAGCATTTAGAATTTGAATCCAGATGGACTTTATCCTTATAATACAAAGTTAATAATATATAGTACTAACACCTTTCCCACATTGTGGTATGGCCTTTACTTTAAAAACATAATTTGATTGAATGTGGGAGGTGGAGGGCGGGTAAAGCAGGGGAGAGTAACCAGGGAAAAATGGAGACAACTGTAACTAAACAACAATAAAAAAAAAGAAAGAAACATACTTTGGTAGCTATAGAAAAGGAGGGCCCTGAGAAACAAGAGTCAGGCCCGGCCTGCTGGCTCTCTAAAGCATGTCTGTCGTGTGCACAGGTGGTCATCGGTTTGACGCAGTTGTAGCATGTATGCAGACAGCCATTGTTAACTAGAGTATAATGTGACGGCCTCATGTAAGGTTAACTCCAAGTCCTTACTCATTGGTTTTCACAAATAGAGCTAATTGTCAAGTGTAGTAACCAAATACTTAAGGGGTAGAGTTATTGTGTTGCTTAACATGGGAGAAGCAAGTAATTTATAAAAGAAGAATGTTTGAAGCATAGAATACTTCTTGTAGTTTTCATAGCAAGTTTGATTTTTTTTATATATGCTCATGTGAACTTATTTTTGTACTACCAATTGGCTCTTCTATAACTTTCTTTAGTTTTCTTTAATTGTGGCTAAGTGTAAGTCAGTGCATTTATCTGTACATGTGAGTCTTCAAATTTCAGCAACCTGACCCCTTTGACTGTGGACTTGTTCTCCTATGAAATAAAAGGGCAATTTAATGTGTACCTGGTTGCACTGAGTGAGGACACCCTCACCTCTCAGCTGTTGCAATAATGCACTGAGCAGGGGGTGTGAATTCCCTCACTTTGCCACAAATGACCCCTGAACATTAGCCATTAAAGGACCTGAATTGATCAGGGTATGTGCTATCTTACTGTTAATTACTTGTTTAGAATATTATGGGGTAAAATGTTTAGTATTCTTTATAAAGAGTTTTAAATAAAAACTTTCATTTTTTATGATTTTTGGAATAATATATCCATTAATGATATTATTCAATGAGCTTATCTGATTAATGTCTGAACTATAAAATTAGTTCAAAAATGGTAATATTTGTAATTTTAAGAAGAAATAAGCCAGGGTTCAAGTTAAATGTCCATTACAAATTTTCTTAGTCTTTCCACAGTTAAATTTTGCATAGTATGCACTTTGTATTCTCATCATCCAACTTTATAGGCAGAGGAACATGTAAACTGAAGCCATTTGTAAAAATTCTCCAGTATTTAGTAAACAGCCTTAGTTTGAAGTTAAATGCAAAAACTAATTATTATTTTCTTGTTAAAACAAATAACTATTTTTCTTTAATCACAAAATGTGTGTGATGCAACTATATGTTGAACAATTCATTATACCTTTCTATATCACTTGAACATGTGGGCTTTTACCTCATGAATAAATAATAAGTCTTTACAGTAAAAGTAAAAAGTAAAACTAAAATAATAAAGCAATCCCCTAAATTTGAATCTTTTAAGGGCAGATGAGCATATTACCCCTACTTATAAATGTGCAGGTATAATTTTAGACAATAAGAGCTTTTGTTCTTATTTACTAAACTCACATAAACAGCTATTATCTTAACTCCATCCTATCACAGAAGCCCCTGTATAAATTTACACCATAATGTAGCCTTAGCAGTGGGTATAAATATATGGTTTTAACTTTTACTAAGGATTCCAACCTAGGAATAAATTCAGGTTGGCAGAAGTAATCATCTCAACCAAGAGATTGCTTCTAAATCGGCTGGGCATGTTTATCATCTAAAAGTTTAATTTTGCTTGGAACTCTATGTTTAGAGTAGGTTTTAGTAACAGTTTTATTTTTCTCTTTCCTGCTTTTTTAAAGAATTGTTCTTACTATTGGCACCACTGGTATTTTTGAATTCTGTTGTCCTCCTATGTCTCTCACATGTATGTGGAAGGCTATACAATTATAGTATTTAAAAGATAGTTTTACTTGACAGGGATGGCTTTCCAAAATGGTTTTTGTTTCCCCCAACTAAAACTTCATTTGGATATAGATATATTTGTTTTGTGATGGATTTCTTATTTATTACCCTATAATATAGTAGACCATAGATTCAAAAGTGATGGTGACACATGGGGCTTCGTCTGTTAGTTGTGTGCTTCACTGAGTTACGTGAGGAGATAATGGAAGGAACTACAAGAATTCATTAGTGCTCATAGTTAATTTTGAGTGAAAAATAACTACTCTGTGAAATTTATGGCATGGTTATGTTCTCTTGATAGTCTCTGTATAAATTTCAATGGTTCAAACACTCAGAAACTGAACTAATGTTTAACTTTCATTTAACTTGAATACTGAAGCCACTTAGACAGAAATAGAGATAGGATCAGAGAATATATGTAGAAATTCCAAATGCAACCGTTACTTTCTTGCACATAAGAATGATGTGCTAGGTAAGAAGGTAATTTTGAATGTGAATATGAGTAGTGTGACCTTGAAGTAGAATCACTACCTGTAATGTGTAAACCAGTCACCACCTGTAATGTACAAACCAATGTGCCAGCTTTACATATAGTGAATATGAATATCACTTGTTCTTAGACTGCAAATAAGTCACCAGTGAATAAGATACACACACACACAATTTATTCATTGACAACAATCATTTTCCTTGCACATTCCCTAAGCATTTTTGAGTCAGTGCTCACATTTGTAAAACTCAACCTATCAGAGTTTTTGTAAGGAACAGCCAAGAAAATTATTAAGAAACATTTACATTGTCAAATAATCTAATATACAATTAATCACTCTAATATTCTAGCAACTACTTCTCAAGATTTTTTATTGTTGTTTGCATTTCTACAACAAACAATAATAGCAATGAAATGATTTCCAATCTAACCAGTAAAAGTTTCTACCTGAGCACTGCAATAGACAGATTTCCTTTTATCTTACAAGTTGTTTAAAGGTTGCACTCAACCTTAATATCAGATCATGGCTATCGAAGCAATAAATGTAAAAAGCAAAAGCAGTCATTACTTCAAGAAGCTAAAGGATATAAAGCACTTCTTTCCTTCCACCTGGTAAATGGAAAAATTCAAAGCTTGTTTACTGTGTTGTTTGATGGATAAGAAATTGACAGGAGGTGTAACTTCTTTATGGCCTTTAGCATGTAAACATTCTCAGGCCACGGCAGATGTGTAGTTCCCATTACTTTCAAAAGTCATTCATTCAAATGCCTAGTGAAAGAGTGGGTTTCAGACAGAATTAAGCACTGTTTCCTGAATGGGAAGACAGTGCTGTGTGCGATGAAGTGCATCATTCAAACAGGAGCTCAGTTAATGAATGCTCTCCCTGTGGTTTTCATGGAGGTGTCAGAATGAGCCTTTTCTGATTCTGCATCACTGAATCCTTATGGAAATGCAAATTGTTTATCCAAGGACACTGACTTTCCTTTTTGCTTGATCATTTAGGGGACTGATTTCTTCAACCTTACAGCACACCACTGGAATCCAGAGAAGGTTCATTAAGACAGGATGAGCGGTTGTTATTTCTTTAAAATCTTAAGTTACTGTCTGTGAGACAGAGACACAGAGAAGTAAAAGAGATACTCTCAGAGATACACAAAAAGAGACACTAGAGACACAGAGATAGTCATTGAAGAGTAAGAGAAACAGAGAGAATCACAAAAAGAGACATGAAATAACCCTGACCAGTGTGGCTAAGTTGGTGGGGCATCTTTCTGAAAAGCAAAAGGTTGCCAGTTCTATCCCAGGTAAGGGCATATGCCTAGATTACGGATTTGGTCCCAGGCCAGGCATGTACAAGAGGCAACCATTTGATGTTTCTCTCACATACCAACTCTTTCTCCTTCCCTTCCCCTCTCTCTCAAGATAAATAAAATATTTTAAAAAGAGATGAAATAAAGTCAGAGAGAGTCAAAGGTGAGCAAAAAAATGAATGAGGTCAGAGAGAAAGACTGAGAAACACAGAGATAAAAGGGAGGAAAAAAAAAGGAGTGAAAACAAAATGTCAGATGGATAGAAATGGGCAGGAAAAGACAGACTGGCAGAAAGACACATGGTTGGAAAAATAAAATAAAAGAAGATATATAGGTAGGGAAAGGAGAATAGAGATAAGACAACTGAGGACAGAGACAGAAAGGGAGATTGAGAAAGACAGACTGCTAGACAGAGAGCAAGGGGTGGAAAGACAGAGGCGATAGCCTGAGATCCAGAGACGGGAGATGAGACACAGAGAGTGTGTGTGAGAAGGTGAGAGGAGAGCAGATGGAATGAAGCTTCATTTCTGCTCTAGTCTCTCAGTAGTGATGAGCTTGTTATCTAAGCTCTCAGCCCTGGTTTCTGTCTGTGGAAGTTTAACAAAGGACTAATTCACATGTACAAATCATCCT